GGGAAAATTACTCACCTTTTTACCATTTTTTCTTATTTACCATGGTCGTGAAATATTCATTGGATCAAACTGGCTGCTTGTCTTAGTAAAAAAAAACTTGATATTTTTTAAGAGTAATGATTTGTGAGACGAATTTGAGGGACGACAAGTGAAAGTAAGGTTAAATTGGTAATTGCTGTTGGTGCTGCTTCCTTTGTCGTCCTCCGTTTCGTCCCCAAAATCGTCCCGCAGATCATTACTCTTTTTTTAATGAATAATGATATGTGGGACGATGTTGCGGGCTGATTTTGGAGACGACAAGTGAAGCAGTCTTAACAGCAATTACCAATTTGACCCTGCTTCACTTGTCGTATCCCAAAATCGTCCCGCATATCATTACTTTTTTTTAATTAATTTATTTTTTGAACAATATATCATGCGAACTTAAATCCAATCTTAAGAGGGGAGAGGAATTATATCTTAATAAGATGATAAGAGTCACTCAACTCAACATACCAAATGTTTTTTAATTAAAATTTTAAATTCAAATTTTATGAATAAAAAAATAAATATTAAAAAAAAAATTATATAATTTAATATGACTTGATGTCCAATATAATTTTTAAATTTTTTGTGGGAATAAGAATGCTTACGAGATCAAAAAAATTGTTTGCGAAAAAAAATACCCATTGTCCTTGCCTTGCAAAGAGGAATATTCATTTTTGTGTCGTACTTGTGGTAGGATCCTTGCAAGAGTTGGGTTAAATTGCCACCCTTAATTATTATATAATTAATTTTTTATTTAAAAATTTATTTATAATATTATATATTTATTTAATATTATATTATATTTAATATCATATAAAATTATAATTTTATATAATATTATAATTATAAGTATAATATTACTTTACTATTAATGAATTTTCATACACCCCTCATTTATTAAAGGAATTTTTGTCGTTATAAATCTTCAAGAAAGAAATAATAAATTGCAATAATAATAATAACAAATTAACAATGATAATATGGTATAAACACTAAAACGACGCCGTTGTTAGCCGCCAACCATCTTGTAAAAAATCGTGTCGTCGTCTCGAAATTCCGTGGGCACCTTCCCGTTTGATTTTTTCAGCCACTACAATTATCCAAAAAAACAATAATATTTAGTCTCCTTCATCACTGTTCTTTTCGGCATCGGCCTCTTCTACACCGCTAACAATATCCACGCAATCACCTCTCCCTTTCTCTCTCTCTGACGCACAAAATCACCATCTCTTCTTCTCTCTCTGTGTCTGCGCTCACTGCCTTTCATGGCCTCCATTTCACCTCCGACTCCGCACAAGCTCACTTTCCCCAGCCACAATCTGCTCTCCTTCAGACGCCCTTTCTGTTCTCCCTCTCGGATTCCGGATTCTTCCTTCTGCCGCTGCGCCGGTTCGTCTTCTTCTTCTTCCTCCTCTGACAATTCAGCTCCGATTCAGTGGCGCTGGGACTCTGCGATTCAGGATGTCCTCAAGACTGCCGTTAAACGCTTTGATTCCTATGTGAATCTCTACAGGAAAGACGCTAGAACCATGGATGATCAAAACGGCGGCGTTCCTTTCGCTGGAAACAATGAGATGGAAGAGGAGGATTGGAATTGGGATCGGTGGAAGAAGCATTTCGAACAAGTTGATGAGCAAGAACGCTTACTCTCTGTTTTAAAGGTATATGTTCTATTTCCGTTAATGTAATGTAAAGATTGCACGATGTAGACTCGATACCGTGTACTCTATTGCAGAATTACGATTATTCAGGATTTGAATGTAGATGACTGTAGAATAGTATCGAATTCCTCTGTTTCTTTCAAAATTTTGACAAGTTTGATTAGTTTTACTGTCTTGGATTGATGTGGTGGTTCTGACTTGCGATTTGTCAATAGTCGCAGTTGGGTCGGGCTGTGTATAGAGAAGATTTTGAAGATGCTGGTAGGCTGAAGGTGGGAATTGCAGCTGCGGCTACAAATGACACTGTTGGGACGGTGATGTCGCATTTGAATGTGGGTACTGGGTAGTTTGATACTGCCTTTGGTGCTAGTGTTTCTCAATTTTCATTTC